CCACTTGGGAGCATTGACCATAATGTGATTGAGTTTAACATTTGTATAAATAGGGAGTTGCCCAAAAAGACTGACACAACCACTTTTAACTTTAAAAGAGAGGTGATCCTGGATTTGGTCCTAAGTAATGCCCAAGACCTGGTGAGAGATGTAAAAGTGATTGCACCGCTTTGGAACAGTGACCATAGTATGATTGAGTTTAACATTTGTATAAATAGGGAGTTGCCCAAAAAGACTGACACAACCACTTTTAACTTTAAAAGGGGTAACTTCTCTGATATGAAGGGACATGTGAGGAAGAAACTGAAAGGAAAAGTTGTAAGGGTCAAAACCATTGGAGAAGCTTGGAGACTATTTAAAACTACAATCCTAGAAGCTCAGAAAAAAATATATACCGCAGCTTAGGAAAGGTACAAATAGGTATAGAAAAAAGCCTGCATGGTTAACTAACAAAGTAATGGAAACTGTAAAATGTAAGAAGGATTCCTTTAAGTGGTGGACAGCTAGTCTCAGTGAGGGTGATAAAACGGAACACAGGCTGTGGCAAATAAAATGCAAGTCTGTGATCAGGCAGGCAAAAAGGGAATATGAGGAGCATATAGCAAAAAACATAAAGACCAACAATAAAACAAGTAGATAAATGGGTACCTGCCCTAGGTGGCAGGGGGCACCCACCTCCTGGTTCCGTGCCAGGAGTGTTGGCAGCAGCGATGGAAGCAAAAAAAGGCGGCGGCGGCAGCAATAATGGCGGCTGATTCTCCAGCGACCAGACCTGGTGGAGGCGGAGCGGACGCTGAGACGTGAGACGCAGGCAGAATGTAGGACGGCACGAACGCTGGAGCCGGAAGGTCTGAGGGCACCTACTATAGTGTACGCTCCCAAAGCCTGTACTTTGAGTCTCCTTTCTTATCATGAAATGTTGGCCATTCACACTTTCTTCTACACAGATGTATGCACATCTGGACAGGTAATATAACCCCTATAACTGCTCCTTAATTGTCTCTATCATCACCTATTTGTTTCTTAGTTCTGGATTGCGTGTATATTTTGATTGCTTAGTGTGATTGTATGCAGGGATATTCTCCAGTAAATTTATTAAACACTCTTTAAATCTGAAGTATTCCTACTGAACTGGACCTTAGTATATAAAGGTGTGTGATCCCTTGTACCCTTCTGGCCTCCTCTGTCTCATAGCTAATTTCCCCCAATATCAAGACAGGCCATTTGTGGTAACAGTTTGTCCAGAAGCTTCGCCTGTTATTATATTGGCATACAAGCTATTTTTAAACATATTCAGTATTTGTAGACAGGTACCATTCATGAATCCATATTTTGGATTTAAGTTTCTCAGCAGAATTACTATTGTTCCTGTTTTCAGTGTTAGTTTATGTAGAGGTAATCCACTACTATCCACATTCACACACAGCACCACAGCTGTCTTTGGCAGTTTGTCTGTTAGGGCTGCTAAGGAACATTTTAAAAGGTGGTGTATACAAACTGACACTGGTTGAAGGAAATCCTGCCTCCCCTCCACTGGCCCCTACCTCTCAGTCACTTTGTCCACCCATCCATTAATGATGCCTCAGCTGTCCTTTTGTAACTTCCCTCTGGCTTCTCATCAGTCAGAAGAGAAAAGCAGTGGGAAGAAGCAATGCCTAAGCTGGTGGAGGGAGAGAAGTGGGTAGAAGCCAGAAACGATGTTTTTAAAGGACAGCGGAGCCTACAGATTTTGTTTATATGAATTCTGCATATGTGCAGACACTGACAGATGGGGGTGAGAATGATTCTTCTCTCCCGCTTGCAAGGTGTTGCAATTGGAGGCTCAAATGTCCATTTAAAACTTCCCCCTACTATTTAGCCATTCATACTGCAAGAAAAATAGCATTGGAGATGGATGAGTGGCAGTGAGGAATCCTTCCCGATCCCAGCTCCAGTTCTGCTGTTGCTTCCTCCCCTCTTCCCCCATCCATTATCTCTCTCTGTCTCTGTGTTTGTGTGTGTGTCTCACTCTCAGCTAGTCAGTCTTTCTTGAGCTGGTGGAAGGGGAGAAAGTAGATAACTCAATGAAAATGTCTAGACAGTGTGCAACTGCAATAAAAAAGGCCAACACTATGCTGGGGATTATTAGGAAGGGAATTGAAAACAAATCAGCCAGTATCATAATGCCCCTGTATAAATCAATCGTGTGACCTCATTTGGAGTACTGTGCACAGTTCTGGTCACCACACCTCAAAAAGGATATTATAGCATTGGAAAAAGTGCAGAAAATTATGCATGGGATAGTGCATGTAGAGAAAGAAGTACTTTCATCCCTTTCTCACAATACAAGAGCTCGTGGGCACTCAATGAAATTGCTGAGCTGTCGGGTTAGAATGGATAAAACTAAGTACTTCTTCACCCAAAGAGTGATTAACACATGGAATTCGCGGCCACAGGAGGTGGCGGCGGCTACAAGCATGGACAGCTTCAAGAGGGAATTAGATAAGCATATGGAGCAGAAGTCCATCAGTGACTATTAGCCACAAGGTATAGATAGGAACTCTCAAGCTGGGGCAAGTAATGCTCTGTATTCTTGGTGCTTGGGGGGGCAACAATGGGAGGGCTTCTAATGTCCTGGCCCCATTGCTGGAACTCCTGATGGCACCTGGTATTTTTGGCCACTGTGTGACGGAGTGGTGGACTGGATGGGCCATTGGCCTGATCCAACATTGGCTTCTCTTATGTTCTTTATATTCTTAGCCCAAGCATCCTGGAGGCACGCCACACGGAGCTTCATGCCGAGGTGCTACCCACAGCTTGGTGCCCCCTCCCCCCTCTAAGAGTACCCGCCGGCGCACTGGCACCCGCTGCCCTCTCCCTCCTTCAAAGCTGTGCTGCTTGCTCATGGACCACCAATCCAATGTTTTCAGGGTGTGTGCAGGTTCTGCCACGTGCTGCTCAGAGTGTTCTGGGGAGTGGTGGGCAGGAGGCACAGTGGAGGCTGAGATGGACGTGTTTGGATTGCCGGCTGCTTCAGTTCCTCCTACAAGCACAGGGTGACGGGGGGGGGAGGTCCAGGGGCATGGGCAGGATCCCACTGGCCACTGGCCTCGCAGGTCCAGTGCCAATGAAGGTCCTAGTCATGCCTCAGCAGCCCCTCCCCAGGCCTCCTTTTTTCTGCCCATCAGCCGACCTTTCCTGCCCACCCTTGGCTTGATTCGCTGCCCCATTGCTGTAAGTCCATGAGGCAACCAACCGATTACCCCACACTCACCTATTCAGCTCCAGGGACACTGGGAACTGTGCTTTGGGCCTTCGGCTGCACCGACTGAAAACAGGAGGCAGCGGTGGCTGAGGTGAGCGGGAGTGGCATACTGCGTAGGAGGAGGGCCTGCCCAACACGGAGTCCTTTTGGGTATCAATGAGACATGCACAAAATGTGCTCGCTCCCAAAGTGCTTGATTGTCGCTTCTTCTACGAGGGCGAACCAACAGGGTGGGGAGGGTATGGGATGGCAAGCCAATGCCCTTGTAAGATGGCACTCAAGGCAACTGCCTAACCCTGCCTTATGGAAGCACTGGCTCTGTCTTCAAGACACACCAAATTTATTTCTGTATGAACTTTGGTGAGTCAGAGTCTATACCTTGCATGTGATGAAGTGAGTTCTGAGTTATGGAAACATATACTGGAATCAGTTTTGTTAGTGTTTGAACTTCTGTTCAATGACCCCTCTGAAATAACATCTATTCAGTGCAGTTTTTAACAGACTCTTTCATACCTTGACTTTTTGTCAGAATCATACTTTGGGATTTACTAATATTGTCCTCCTTTGATTTCATTCCTGTTCTCAAGAGGTTCTTTTAAAGCTTCTATTAGAGATTTTTTTTAAAAAACTCCCAGTCATAAGCTTGGTTCTCGTCCTCATCTTCACTCTTCATATTCTCCCTCCTGACAAAGTGTTCTTTATGCTTATGGTATCACTGCTATGCTGTTGCCATTCAGCTCTGCCTTTCTGTTTCCTCCTTCTTCCCCTCTGTTCTTATTAATATGTCCAGCTGTCTTAGAGCTATTTTTGTCTGTTTTTTTAATTATTAAATCAACTTTAATGTATGAAAGACAGGATTTATGTCTTCTTCTAAACCTCCAGTTTTCTTCTTTCACAGTGTCGAAGCCCTTAACCTGCTGTTGTTGATATTTCTCTTGTGTTGCCTTCTTGATTTTCTATTGACTTTTTAAATTCTGTTTTTACATTTATCATTGAATATTTTTACTTTAACTCTACCATTTTATTTTAGTCTTACTCACCCCTTAGTCCGCTATCCTTTTTATTTCATTAAAAGAGAGAGAGATTGTGAGCCTGAATTTAGTGTCCTCTTAGATTTAATTTTTGCATTGTGCTTAGAATATTGTAGGCACTTTTTACAAATAATGGGTGATTATGATACATATTGGTTTATTTAGAAGCCACACATCTTATGGTTTTGGACTCTCATTCTTTTTACAACAACAGCTTCAGTGCATCTTGATGGACCTTAATTATTTATGAAGCCTTGTGATTTTTAAATAATATTCTTATTAACCTTTCTTTCATTTAGCATGAAGTTTTTGTAGCTGTCGATGTCAAGCTGGTAATAAAAGCCAATGAATAGAAATTTGTCCACCTATCAGTTGGTATTGCTGATATTTGATGTCCAGTCATACTGGGAAATTAATGAACTTATTTGTAATAAGAGCAAAATATGTAGAAAGAACTTCAACCTTAATGGGCTTTGGTAGCTTACTAGTTTCTGGGTTTGTGTGTGTGTGTATGTAGAACACACATGCATGTATATGTATATAGAGGACTTACTAGTTTCTGGGTTTGTGTGTTTGTGTATATACATATGGAGATACCTTCATATGCAGAAACCCCTATCATGTTTAGCTGCCCTGTAGATAGATGCTTGATTTTGAACAATATTGTTAGATGATTTAAAAAACAAAACAAAACAAAAAACCCTTCTTTCTTCTTTCTTCTATAGACTGGTGATATTGTCTACTACAATGCAAAAGATGACCTCAATGATGTAAGTAACACTATGGGAAAATATTACTGTATACCTTTCAAAGTGCCCTATGGGTGCTAAGATGTTTACTGTGGCTTGCATCCTCCATATGCAAAATGAATTGTTGCTGAAAGTGTGTGTATGTTAAAGTACTTTTTGAAAAGACAGGTATAACACACCTCCCCACACTTTTTCTTCTCCATGAGGCAGATTTTGCCACCAAAACACTATTCCCCAATCTGACTGAGCAGCCTCTTATCACTTTCTGTGTGTCCCATTCTGTATTTGGTTTTTGCCCAGGCCAGAGATTTTTTGTAACTCAGCAAGAGCCTTCTTATAAATCTATTTTCAAAATGACACTTGACACAAAAGAAAGTTCTAAACAGGAGCCCTCTTATAAATCCCTTTGGAAATGGCACTTGACACAAAGTAAAGTTCAAACAGAAGGGTTGATTTTATTGAACAGGCACAGTTGAGTTAGGAATTGGGCAGGGGGCAAGAAGCTGAGATAAATTTGGCTGTTTATAAAAATTATAATATTTTGAACAGGCAACAGAGTACAACTGAAGTTTATATTCTAAGAGACTCAGTTCTTATCTGAGAAATTTGTTTGTCTTGGAGATTTCTTTCAGCAACAATATGTTTTAATAAAGTTTCATAAAGCTATCTTAGGCTGATTTCCCACAAACAGAGTACAACTGAAGTTTATATTCTAAGAGACTCAGTTCTTATCTGAGAAATTTGTTTGTCTTGGAGATTTCTTTCAGCAACAATATGTTTTAATATCTCTCTTATATATAAAAACCGAATGGTGGTGGCTTTTGTCCTATGGGGTGGTGAGATTGCATGCGCTCCCGCAGCCATTGGCCCGTGCTTAGCTCCTTTCTGAGACAAAGGTTTCTCTCAGTGGCTGTTGTGAGGAACTCATAGGGTTGCCAGCTCCAGGTAAGGAAGCCAGAGTTTGGGGAGGGGAGAGGGGAGGCCTCAGCTGAATAGAATGCCATAGAGGCGACCGGCCAAAGTATTCTAACTTCTCCTTCAGTGGCTGTTGGTAGGCAACCAAGCTTGGTTCTGCCAGTAAAGAGACAAAGGAATAAAACCCTTTCTACGCCTCTGTGAGGAACTCATTGGGCCCAGTCCTGAGTATGGTTGCCAGCTTGAGGTTTGGAAATTCCTGCTCCTTCCGCCCCCCCCAAACGCTGCCCTCCACAGGATCCACCCCCCAAATCTCCAGGTGTTTCCCTAATCAGAGCTGGGAAGCCTGCTTTCCCCTCAGTGCCTGCTGCTGGTCAACCAAGGCTGCGGTCACACGGAACAGAAGCCACACAAGTGAGACGGAAAACAGGCGGAGTTTCCAGGCGCGATCTCACCAGCACATCTGGGAAGCGTAGCACTCCCGTGGCTCAACCGAGGCTTCCAGCCGAAACTGCGTGGCAAAAAACTAGTACCTCGGAGGTACTAGTTTCCGGAAACTGCGGGGCAAGGGCGGGCGTCTGATCGCGTTTCCGGTGGCATCCGGCGCCCGCCCATGTCCCCCTGCAAATAAGGGGGTTTTTTTTTGTCCAAGTCTCTGTGGATGCGCACACGCACCCAACGGAGCATGCGCATTTGTCGTGTACACACACAAAACAAACAGTTTGCCACGGCGCGCGCTTCTTCGTTGCGCGCCGGCTTGTCCTGTGATCAGCACCTCTCCCTTGCCATGGAACCTCCACGGTACCTCCACAGAACCTCCACGGGAGGTCTGATCATGTAACAGCGCAGTAGTTTGCCCCAGGGCAAACAGCCACGCTTCTCCCCCGCAGTTTCCTGCCCGTGTGACCGGGGCCCAAGTTTGGTTTCTGTCAGTAAAAGGTCCTTTCCACACCTATTTTGGCCTTAGGAGAAAACTCATTGTGTCCTTCTACCCTGCTGACAGGCCCCTCCCCCCATGACAGCCAAAGCTTCAGAGCACAGTAGAGGCTGCAGGTGGGGGAGGAGAGATAGAAAGCTGAACAGTGAAGGGGAAATGAAGGTACATTGTTGCTTGGCTGGGAAAGAGATAGGATTGCCAACTCCAGGTAGAGGCTGCAGGGGGGAGATGGAAAGCTGAACAGTGAGGGGGAAATAAAGGTACATTGATGCTTGGCTGGGAAGGAGATAGGGTTGCCAACTCCAGGTAGAGGCTGCAGGGGGGAGATGGAAAGCTGAACAGTGAGGGGGAAATGAAGGTAGATTGATGCTTGGCTGGGAAGGAGATAGTGTTGCCAACTCCAGGTGGGAAAATCCTGGAGATTTGAGGGATGGAGCCTGGAAAGGGTGAGGTTTGAGGGTGTGTGTTGATTTTTCGCAATATTGATAGCGAAAAAATAGCCTTTAAGTGTGAGGGAATAGAAAGAGATCCTATGGGGAGATTTATCTTTGTTAAAGGGAAGATCGATGGTAATGGGATGACACTTGCCTTGCTCTATGCTCTGAATAACTATCAAGCTACTTTTATAGAGGAGACATTATTCAAGCTTCAAAATTTTTTAAAAGGCTCTTTAATAATAGGAGGGGATCTCAACATGGTTGCTGATAAAATCTATAAAGATCTATAAAAAAACAAAAACAAAAAGTAAAAATAAAAGTTAAAACCAAACAGACAAGCACAGAAAGCTTTGGTAAACCAACCAAGCTAGCAGAATTGTTTTCCCAATGTCATTTAGTAGACACTCAGTGGCATATACATCAGAGTACTAGGCATATACAGAGTAATAATTATACGAATTATTTCCCCAGATTCAAAACGTATACCCATATTGATTATTTATTAGTTTCCAGAGAGTTACTTAATGTAATAGGAGACTCTGACATTGGACCAATTTTGTGGATAGACCATGTGCCAGTAGACTGTCAGGTATTTAAGATGGAGGAAGCAACCAAACAATATATGTGGCAGTTAAATAATTCAATTTTGTTGAAAGATGAGATTAAAGAAAATACAAGGAATAAAGAAATATTTTAAGGAAAACACTAATGAGAAAGTCTCCCCAAATATTATCTGGGATGCTTTTAAAGCGATCTTAAGGGGTGAAATCATTGCTTTGCAGCCTGCCTGGGGGGGAATCACAGAATCGATGGCAGAAATTAAACTAGAGATTATTTATAGGAATATAGGTAGTAATGAAGTATATAGTCAATTATTAGCCATTTTTTTTGAGGCTATGGAATCAAACCATATACAAAAGCAATTATTATATTTGAAACAGAAATTTTGGTTAAAAACTGCAAAGACCTTGAAAATTTTAGCTTGGAGAGAAAGAATATAAATTACCTTGGAGGATAGATCTATTAAAAGATGATAGTGGCGGGGCGGAGCCAAGCGTCGCTAGATGGCGGACGTGTGATTTTGCTGCTCCCGATCGATCCTTCCCCCCCCTGGACTACAAATCGTTAAAAAACGCTAAAAATCGACCAAAGGTATGGGCAAACTGAAAGGGAATAAAACGCCCTCAACTAAGAAGAATTCGGCTTCGGTGGATACTTATTTTCACAAAGACACGCCACAAACTCCTCAGACGCCAGGATCACCTAAAATGGCGGCCGCAACAGACTCAGCAACCTCGAGCGAAGAGCCTCTGCTAAAGAAAGACTTAATGGACTTAAAATCCGACATTCAGCGTTTCTTTAAGGAATCGATGGCAGAGCACCTTCAGCCGGTTCAAAGTAAGCTGGAGGAATTAACAGAAGGTCTCGGTGCAGCTTGTAGAGCAGCTGAATCGGCATTAGAAGCAACGGACTCGCTACAGGTAGAATTGACTGCTTTAAAACGGTCGGAACGAATGACGCAGATTAAACTCACAGCTCTAGATCATAAATGGAGACAATTTAACGTTAAGCTAAGGGGGATTGAAGAGGGTGCGGAGAAAGAAACTAATGACTTATCGGGATATGTATCCTCCTGGCTAATTGAGTCTATGAAATTGGAGGAGGGGATGATCCCAGCAATTGCAAAGGCACAGAGACTGGGACCTTTAGCTACAGCTCGCCAAAACAGACCCAGGGATATACTGGTACAGTTTGTGCATGCATCTTTTAGAGACAGGCTTCTCAAGGAAGCGAGGAAAAACAACTCCTTAATGCATAGAGGAAAGAAAGTATTGGTCTTGTTGGATCTCCCCCCTGAATGCCTGGAAAAGAGAAAACTTTTGAAAATCATTACAGTAAAACTACTGGAGGCTAAAATCAGGTTCAGATGGAGTGCTACTTCCAACGTCACTGTATACAAAGATGGATCTCTGTTCCAAGCCTCAGACTTGAAAACAGGACTCACACTATTAAAAAATCTACACGTAGAACTAACTCAAGCCGAAATAGCAGAGATTGAAGCGCACCCTAACTTTGAAAAACAGCAGGACGACAATGACTGATTGCAATTGTGGATCTCTTTATTTTTTTCTATTTTATCTGAAGTAAACTATAAGAGGTGGCGTGAGTATATGGAGGGAAGCAAGAAAATGGCTGCTGGTGCCCCTTGTGAATATGCAATGGTTACAACTTTATTTTCTTTTCAAAACAATCAAATACTCTATTTTCAGGGCTATGTGAATAAGTAAGGTTTTAATGTGATGTATAGATTATATACCTCAGATGGAACTAATAATTTATAATATGGTGCAGGAAACCTATCTTTTATTTTTTTATTTTCTTTAAAGAAAAAGGTGATATAAAACCTGGTTTAAAGATATTTAAGACCTATTTTAGTTAAGGGTTATATTTTTATTTTTATTTTTTTTATTCTTTTTATGAGG